CTTGCATGATCCTGGGACTGGAACTCCTTCTTGGATGTTAGTAGTATTTTTTTCTTCCATGTGGAAGCTGAGGATTTTGGCTATACTATTCCTGAGACTTGCTTTTTTGGTTTATTTCAGGAGATGAGCAGTGAATTCTTTCTGTCTTTGTCCTTTAGTTCTGCTAGATCTGGAAAGTTCTCATTTGTGATTTCTTAAAATAGGATGCCCAGGCTTTGAAAAAAATCATGGTTTTCAGAGAGTCTAGTCATTTGTTCTAAAATGATCTCTCTTTGACCTCTTTTCGAGGACGGTTATTTTTTAGATCAATTTCATCTTACATTTTCTTTGATTTTTCCTTAGCTTTTGATTTTGTTCTTTCCTGAAGAATCTTTATTTCATTTTTTATTTCTTGTTTCATTTCTTCTAGATATTCATGCAGTCCTTGAATAAAATGTATTTTTTCCTTTTAGTCTTTGCTTGCAGTTGTTACAGCTACTTTACCCTTCTAGGCTATATTTTTAGGCATCTCTAGATCTACGATAATTTTTATAGTGGTTGGTGTCTTCTTTGTTTTACTCATCTCATTGGTTTTAATTCTTTTTTTTTTTTTTTGAGGCAATGAGGTTAAGTGACCTGCCCAGGGTCACACAGCTAGTGAGTGTTATGTGTCTGAGACCAGATTTGAACTCAGGTCCTCCTGACTCCAAGGCCGGAGCTCTGTCCACTGTGCCACGTAGCTGCCCCTAGTTTTAATTCTTGAATGGGGCTTTGTGCAAACGCCAGTCTGTGACCCTAGCTATGCTTTTGGGTAGTATGATGAGCTCTGCATGGGCTTGTCCTGTGTTCTTGCTCTGATCTACACCTCCCAGGATTAGACTACTAGGTCTTTAAGGTTCAGAACACTGGATCTTCAGGTCCCTCTCTGGCATCTCTGGACAAAGTTCAGGAGCTCTCTTGTCCTGGTTGCTCCTGGGGCTCTACTATCTGAGTATCCAGGGGTTTCCTGAGCACTCTGGGGTTTTCTTGAAGGAGCCCTCTCTACTGTTGCTGCCTTTGGACACAGAGCTTTTCAGGTTATCCATTTCTCTGACCTACCTCTGGTCACACTGGAAGGCTATAGGCTTGTTTGCCGTTGGGCTTTGCAGGGGGATTGTCCAGCCAGTTCATCTTCTGACGTCTTCATACTGTCTTGGAAAGTATTTGATGCACTAGTTCATGGAAAGATGCGAGAATCTTCATGTCTCCTTGAGTTGGGTTTAGAGCCTACTTCTGATGCTACCTTTGTGTCCAGTCTCCTTGTCTGTGGAACTGACAGAATAATGTCATTAGTACCTGCTCAAATGCAGTAAAGTGTAAAGCATAAATCCTTAAAGGCTACGGGATGCCAGCATTATTATGGATCCAGTTACCTAAGGGGGAATTTGCCTTTTAAAAGAGGAAGAAGGAAGAAGTATAACTTGTTAATGGGAAAACTGACATCAGTAGCAGAAAAGTTCTGGGGAATAGGATGAAAGTCACATGTAGACAACTGTCTACTCTTCTGAATGGGCTAGGACCGGGGTAGGGAACCTGTGGCCTAAAGGCCATATATGGCCCTCTAGGTCCTTAAGTGTGGCCCTTTGACTGAATCCAAACTTTACAGAACAAATCCTTTTATTAAAGGATTTGTTCTGTAAAACTTGGACTCAGTCAAAAGGCCACACCCAAGGACCTGGAAGGCCGCCCTTGGGCTAGGAGTTCACTGAGAAACAAGTTGTTGTTAATCATTTTTCAGTCATGTCCAACTCTTTATAACCCCTTTTGGGCAAAAATACTGGAGTGGTTTGTCATTTCCTTCTCCTGCTCATTTTACAGATGAGGAAAACCGAGGCAAATAGGGTTGAGTGACTTGCCCAGCATCACACAGCTGGTATGTGTCTAAGGCCAGACTTGAACTCAGGAAGGACTCTTCTTGACTCCAGGCACAGTACTCTATCTACTGTGCCGCCTAGCTGCCCGCATGAGAGATGTAGTTGTTTCTAATCAAGAAAAACTCAAAATAGATGAAGTCAATTTATTGGTTAGGTTCTGCTTACATTGTTCCTTATTCTAAGATAGCATTCAGTGTGTTCATGTATTCTTGCATGTGCATGTGGGGAAGGAAAAGGAGAGAATATCGGGAAAGAATTCTGATACGGAAAAAGGCGTAATACAAATTAATAATGAAAATGTTAAAGTCAGGATTAAGAAAAGAGAAGTAGAAGACTAAGTGATACTCACCCAGAGCTACTGTGCTTTGCCTTTAAATCATCTGGGAGCTAGGCCCGACCCTCACTTGGCTTTCTCACTAAAATCTGAGTTAGCAAAAGGCCCTAAACTCTTTCATCCTCCTATCTTCTAGCCAATATTTTAAATATACTTGATGTCTAGTGTTTTAAAATTATATCTTGTTCTGGTTCCCCAACCACTCACCCCCAAGCTTCTGATCAGTATAGCAAGTTTGTAAGTAGCCAGTATAAAGTAACAATTATCAAGAAGTGAGATCGGAAAGGGGAACCTGGAAGTCACATACCAAACATCCCAAAGATCAAAGAAGCATAACTTGCAAACTGTATCATATATTAACCAAAAATCACATCCTGGTAATAATGTGGCAAATTGAGGGAAGCCATCTAGGCTTTGAGGTCAGGGCCTTTTGGTCCAATGACGTATAAATCTCAGGTAAGTTCCAGATATCGGCAGTGAAGACCAGTAGGATGCCAAATGCTACTGATAACTCTGAGATGATGTGGATGTGTTAACTTTAAAGTTTTACTGACAACTTTGAGATTGTTTGGATATATTAATGAACTAACCTCAAAGTGGCAGAGATAAAAGTCTGCACTCCCCCTCCCCAAAAAACCCTATGAAAATGAGACCTCAAATCCCTGTTGTCTTCTCTCCACCCTCCCCCCTTTCCCCCAGCACTGACCCATCTCCATCTGGGTCCCTGCTGTCAAGTGCTCCCAACTCGAATCCCTGGTTATATGAGTAATTCTTAATGTGTCTCTCCCTTCCCATTCTCTTTCTGCTGTTGACTGACTTCCTTCCCCACTCTATCCTCTGTCTGCCTTTGTACCCCTCCCCCCTTTCACCACTTGTCTCTGTACTTTCTGTGCTGTTTGCCCCTTCACCCTCTGGGCCTTATTAAAGTGTAATTCAGCCTCACTTCCCGTTGCCATTGTAGTCTTTCCCGTCGAATACCCAAAGTACCAGGTGTGCCCACCCCATTTCATAAATTAATTAGAGGTTCATCTAGCTTTTAATGTACAAATTTTAAAAAGATGAAGTTTTATATTAAATTATTAAAAAGCACTTGATTTCACAATCCTATAGTTCTCTTTTGTTTACAAGTGGAAATAGTGCCTTTAGATACTTAATATGAGTCAGCAGTGTTACAGCAGCCAAAAAGCTAATGAAATCTTAGGTTTTGTGAATAAAAACATGGGGCCCAGAATATACATACATACATACATATTTCATATATATATATATATATACATATATATGTGTATATATACATATACATACACACACCTTTATTTTCTTTATTCTGAGTTTCTGTTTCTCTGTCTTTGTCTCTGCCTCTGTTTCTGTGTCTCTATGCCTTTCTGTCTCTTTGTCTGTCCCTCTCTGTCTCTGTCTCTCTCTTTCTCTCTCTATGTCTCTCTGTCTCTGTGTCTTTCTCTGTGTCTCACCTCACAGGAAGGATCTGAACTCTAGTGTTCTTTCCACTGTCTCACTACATTAAAGCCGTGAAGGACAGAGATTAGACTGGCCCCAGGGAGAGAACTAGAACCAGCCTATGAAAGTTGCAGAAAGGGAGATTTTGGCTCAACATAAGGAAAAACTTATTGGAGGTCTTCTTTTGGACACTGGATGACCACTTATCAAGGACATTGGAATAGACTAGAAGGAAAGCTATGAAAAATCTGGAAAGCATACCAGAAAGCAGGCATCACCTTGCTGACAAAAGTCTGTCCGTGTAGTCAAAGCTATGGTTTTCCAGTAGCAATGTGGCTGTGAGAGTTGGAGTGTAAGAAAATCTGAGTGCCGCGGAATCGCTGCTTTTGAATTGTGGTGCTAGAGAAGACTTTGGAGAATCCCTAGGACAGCAAGGAGATCAAACCAGTCAATACTTAAATTAACTCAGGCTATTCACTGGAAGGTCAAATACTGAAGGTGAAGCTTAAGTACTTTGGTCACATAATAGAGAAGACCCAACTCATTGGAAAAGATCCTGTTGTTGGGAAAGATTGAAGGCAAAAGGAAGAGGGGATGGCAGAGGATGAGATGGAGAGTGTCATGGAAACCACAAGCATGAACTTTGATAGACTTCAGGATATAGTTGGGGATAGAAGGGCCTGGCATCCTATCATCCATGGGTTCACAGAGTCGGATAAGCCTGAATGAACAACAAACGACAATAAAAAGGTCTCTTTCACTTCAGATTCTAAAGTATAAACTTTTGTTTTTGTTGACCAGTTTAGATTTCCTTCTCATAGCCTCCATTCCTGCATTTGTTATTACAGTATAATTAAGAAAACAGTTTGGGTCTGGTGATGATAACTTAGGATTTCTTCCTATTTATACTGTCTAAGAAGTAGAACAAACAGGAAATGGGTTCTGGAGTAGGATTTCCTGTCAAATTAAGTCAGGGTAAGTATCATAAATACTATTATTCCCATTTGACAGATGAGGAAACTGAAGCATACTGAGGTTTCCCCTCTCCTTCCCCTGACCCCCATCCTACTCCCTATGCTTAGTGGGTTCCAGATCCTGGTTCTTCAGCTAGATTGATGATCTCTAAGATTCCTTCTAACTCTAAATCCAGTGAGCCTATGGTCTTGGTTAGGCTAGAGGAGGGGTGAGGTGCTGAATTTGGTGATCTGGGTCAGAGAGTCACTCTTTGTCCCTAACTCCTTCTTCTCTCCCAGCCCAGGAAGGGAGAATCAAAGGAGATTTTATTAATGGTAGTAGAGGAGTCTGGAATGGGGTTTTCAGGGGCCTCTGCTGCCTGCATTCCTGAGCCCTCCAGCGTACAGAAGGTTTTCTAAGTGGCGGCCAGCCAAACGGAGGCGGTCAGACTTCCCCTAGCTGTGAAGAAGGCAGCTGCAACTTGAGAACAGCTTACGCTCCCTGCCTCCTGGCACTCCCCGGGTGAGTCCAGCCGGGAGACGGTCAGGGATCCGCAGAGCCCAGAACCAGAGCTGGGATCCTGGGATCAGGCACTCCCTACTCTTCTGATTTTCCTCGCTGCAGAGAGACTTGATTCTTTTCTGAACTTCAAGCTGTGTCTGATCGGGAGGAGCTGGAGTCGGTGCCTTTGAGAAGCAAAGAGGGCACCTCACTTTTCTGTGATCCCAGGAGCCAAATCAGGCATGAAGAGTCTTTAACTCAGTACATCTTGTGATCGAGAGAGGTAAAGGTTTGTTTTTTCTGTTCCTAATTCTTTAGCTGATTTGGGGTTGAATGTAGCCTTCAGTTTGTCTTCTGGGTGTTTATAACTATCTAGTCTTTCCTTAGAGGCTATGTTCTCTTCACCTACCTTTGATCTCTCCTCAGTTTCCCTGTTTCTCTCTCTTTTCACAAGCTCTGAGTTTCAACAACTGAGTGTCTACTTAAAAGGGGAATGAACAACGCAGCCAGAGAAAGCCTTCTTTTCAGGCGCCCCTCTCTTGGGTTACCCGTTCCACTGTATTCTTGCATGGGCAACTGGGAGACTTGTGCTCTGCTGCTGACTGGTCGCCTGTGTGACCATGGGCAAGTGCCTTATTTTTTCAGTCCTCAGTTTCTTCCTCTATAAAATGAGAGGGTTAGACAGGATGGCACCTAAGGTCCCTTTCAGCTGATTCTCTAGAAGTTTGCTTTATTGTTGAGCTTCCCCCCCCCCTTTTGTCTTGTCTCCCTCTTTCAGTCCTATGAAGGACCAGTTATGGGTCTGAGGTACTCACAAAGAAAGATGTGTATTTCTTTGTTTCCTCCTTGTAGATGAATCAGCCACGCAAATCATATTTTTTTTTTATTTAAGAGAGAAAATGTGGTGTCCTGGAAAGAGCACTAGGTTTAGAGTCAGGAGTTCTGGCTGTGAATTATACCTGTTACTACCAGTATGACTTTGAGCAGGCTCAGTTTTCACACCTGTAAAATGAGAGATTTGGGCTTCAGAGTCCTTAATAATTTTTTGTCATGAACCCTCCAGGAAGTGTGGTGAAGCCTATGAACCCCTTTTCAGAATAATCTTATAAAATGCATAAAATAATATAGGATTATAAGGAAATCACATATATAAAAATATAATTATCAAAATGTTTTTTGTAAGTTCATGGACCCCAGATTGAGAACCCCTGGACTAGATGATCTTCCAAATTTCCTTTCAGGTCTAAGTTCTATGATCCTTTGGTCTTTTCCCCAGAGTATTATTAGACAAGTTAATTTCTTCCTGACCAACTCATTACAGTACTGAGAAAAGCAGGAGAAAATTGTCCATTTGTGGTGAGGGCAAATTCAACCCACACTTATTGGCCTTGTTTTTATTTAATGTGCCACATGAAGTCTTAGGAGGATATAATAATAACCTAAAGGAGGAGAGAGCTATCAATAAAACGAGCACTGTGCTCGTTTACAGCATCCACAAGCTACTCAATCCCAGGTCCTACTTGTGGGAAGGATTACCAGTGCGAAGGCAAAGGCAGCTTGAGTGAAGAAGAGCTTGTGACCCAGGAGTCAGATGGCGTGGATTCTGTCCCTGGACCTCTCGCTGATGAGCTGTGTGGCTTTAGACAAATTGCCTTCCTTCTCTGTACTTCATTAGACTTTTTTTTTTTGAAAAATAAGAGATTATGCTGAAAGATAATTAAGCCCCTTCTAGATCTGACCTTGTACATTCTAGGACTTTGCATTGATGAGCACATGGGACCTGGATTGGGGAAAAGCGAAATGTTGGCCTTGTGTGCCTTTGTGTATGAGTCTTTTAGGACATGTACGTAATAAAGGAAAGCCCAGCTGAGCTTCAAATAAGGAAACAGTCTTCAAGGCCTGCTTTGGAAAGCGGAAGAACAAATGAGTTTGTTTTGCCTTGTGGTCTGAAAGCACAAAACCTGAGGTGGGGAAAGAACAAGGTAAAGTGTCAAATCCAAAAGGCCCTAGATATTTGCTCCAGGCTAGCTTGGGTACACAGGCTGGCTACAACTCCTAATCCAGCTAAGCAGTATCTGAAACCTCCAGTTGTGATGAGGTAATGGGGGAGAGGATAGAGGTAAGTCTGGGTCAGGAAGACACCCAGGCTCTTGAGCTGAGCTGAGTACCAGGGAGTGGTGAGGGGTGGATGGGGGTGGGAAGGTCCTTCTGCCTAAGCAGGGCCCTGCCTTCTGCCAGGGATCTTGAAGACCGTTCTAGCATTGGTTTGCCACTGTTGGCTCTGAGGTCAGATTAGAAAATGTGGCTGGTGGAGGTGGGGACCCAGGAAGTGGGGAAAGCAAAGAACTGTTCCTTTGAGGGACCTTAGTGTGGTGTTATGGCTCTTGGAGTCAAATCCTAGTTCAGAACACAGTGTCATGCCTCTATCTTCTAGGGAGCCAGGATCGTAGTAATGTTAACATTTATTCAAGGTGGAGATTCTTAATCTGAGGTCCATTAATATTTAAAAAAATTTTAATATAGTTGATTTCCTTTGTAATCCTATGTATTTTATTTTATGCATTTAAAAACATTATTTTGAGAAGGGCTCTATGAGCTTTACTAGACTGCAGAAGGCTCCAGGACACACACAAAAAAAGGTGAAGAATTCCAGGTTTAAGTTTTTTTTTTTTTTCTTGGCTAGGCAATGAGGTTAAGTGACTTGCCCAGGGTCACACAGCTAGTAAGTATCAAGTGTCTGAGGACAGATTTGAATTCAGGTCCTCCTGACTCCAAGGGCTGGTGTTTTAATAACTACACCACCTAACTGTCCCTGGGAGCTTACCCTCTAATGGGGGAAGATAACACATAAAAAGAGGCAGGTGGTTTATTGTTTTATATTGAATCCTCTCTTATATTCTACTGTGTATGTGGAAATGTTTTTTCTTTTTTCATTTTGTACTTAAATTTAAGATGAATAAAAATTTACCAAAAGAAAAGGGGGGTAGACTATGGTGGCCAATCAAAGAGCAAAATATGGCTGGTCTGGGCCTTTCTTCAAAATGGAGCTCTTGTGAGGAACTTACCAATAAGAGAAGAGGGCCAAAGGCAGTAGGGGAGAGAGAAGGGAGATGAAGCTTGGTGGCAAAGTCTAGAATCAAGAGAGGTAGTTAGACTGGACCGCCTCTGAGGTCCCTTCCAGCTCAAGGATTGTATCTTTATGGCTAAAACTCCTGGGTCTGGGGGCATCTGCTCTGTCCATTCCAGCTTCAATCTGAGGGGCCTCTTATTCTCTCCTCATTCTGTGAGTCTTGTTTTCCTGATACTTTTCTTAATTCCTCTTCTTTCTAATAACTTAATATTATAACTGTAATAAAACTACAGGGCAGCTATGTGGCACAGTAGATAGAGTGCTGGGCTTACAGTCAGGAAGACTGATCTTCCGGAGTTCAAACCTGGCCTCAGACACTTACTAGCTCTGTGACCCTGGGCAAGTCACTTAACCTTGTTGGATTCAGTTTCCTCATCTGTAAAATGAAGTAGAGAAGGAAATGGCAAGCCACTCCAGTATCTCTGCCAAGAAAACCCCAAATGGGGTCATGAAGAGTCAGGTACAATGACAACAACAAAACATGCTAGGTACTACCTAGCACAAAAAATGAAACGAATCAGATATCTTGGCCCCACCTTTCAAATGTACTTTATAACCCCAAATTCCTCACTCTGTCATAGATTTCGCATTCTAAGTGTCTGGGCAAACAAACAGAGGACTGGGAGTAGGGAACAGGAATATGGAGTTAACCTATAACTTTCAAGTCAGGCTAGGAAGAAGAATCCTTCCTTATTCTCTTGGGTGACAGCAACAGGAGTAAACCAGTGGTAGAATTAGGAGAGGGGCGTTTTTTGTTTGAAGGCATCCTGAGCAGTTTCATGATAGAGCCCCAAATTTCTTTGGCTGCTTCTGACTCTGACTAGACCTCTTCTCTCCCATCACCTCCTTCTTTCTCCCTCTGACATACTCTCCTCCCTCTATACTCTATCCACCTTGGAATTGAGACCATGTCTTGGGTTCGGGCCAGTGTAGAAATAAATAAGAAGGATGTAGTGAAAGAAGAACATGGCACTTGGAGTCAGAGACCTGTAACTTTATGGGGATACTAATAAGAATGTGGGTTCACCGCTGGAAGGAACCTTGGAGATCATCTAGTCATTTTACAGATGAAGAGACAAGCAGCAGAGAGACAAGGAAATGAAATTACTTTTCTCAAGTCATGCAGGTAGTGAGAAGATTTGCAATTAGAACCCAGGCGCTCTTCTTTCCAACTCACTGCCTGCTCACAGGGCTGTGGCCAATGGAGACCAAGTTAAGAGGCAGCACAGTACCAGGGAAGGAATGTTGGCCCAGGAGCTGCAAGAGCTGCATGTGAGATCTGACTCTTCCGCTCACAATGGCGACTATGTTGACACTGGCCTCAGTTCTCTCATCTGTCAAATGCAGATAGCTTTTTTAAAAATTTAGTTTTTACTGATAATTTTGTTTCTATGTCACGTACATTTCTCCCAGTATCCCTTTTCTTCCCCTCTCCCAGAAAACCACCCTTATAACAAAGATTTTTTAAAAAGGAATAGAAAAAAAGAATGCAGATAATTCTTATGTTACCTTCCTTAAAGAGCTAGTGTGAGGAAACTGCTACTTATAAATGCAGCTGTTGTTAGGTATGTGAAAATGTTTTGTAACAGGTAAGTGCTACAAAAGTACCAAATAACCCAAGCGCTTTGCTAAGATATGTCTGCCTCGAATAGCTGGATTTAGAGCCAGAGGACCAGGGTTTAAATCCTGGTCTTGCCTCTTACAAGCTAGGTGACTACATCTGAGTCACCCCATCTCTTTGGGTCTCAGTTTCTTCAACTGTAAAATGATGGAGTTGGCCTAGATAGCTGCTAAGACCCCTTCCAGCTCTTTTTAAAAAAATGATTCTAGGATTGCTTTTCACTATAGGACTTGTCTTCATCAGCCAAACTCCCAAAAGCTGAGTCACTGGGAAGGAGTAATGATGGATAATGCTGGGTGGGATAGTGAGAGTTTGCTGTTTTTTTTTCCTCTCCCCATCAGCCTCTTATTGTGTTCTGAGATGCTGGGTTGGGTCAGTTGGGTCAAATGGATCATGTTGTTTTAGTAGCTATCTCTGCTTTCTGATCTACTCAAGATGTCCTGGTGTTTTTCCATCTCCCCTGCCTCAAGGGAATGGATGGAAAGTCTAGGCAGGGAACAAGACTGTAACCAGTCATGTGTGTCTTAGGAGAGGAGAA